GCCAATGCAGGAGATGTGGATTTGACCCCTGGCTGGGGAAGATCCCCTGGAGAAGGAAATGGTAAACCACTCTAGTATTGTTGCCTCGGAAATTCCATGGACAGAGGACCCTGGCAGGCTACAGTCCATGGGGTCACAAAAGAATCAGATAGGACTTAGTGACTAAACAACAGCAACAGCAAAATTAGTTTTCTTGGGCTGTCATAGCAAAATATCACAGAGTCGGTGGCCTAAATAACATATGCTTATATTCTCACAGTTGGATGGCTGGATGGCATCACCGACTCAATGGACATGAGCTTGAGCAATCTCTGGGAGTTGGTGATGGACAAGGAGGCCTGGTGTGCTGCAGCCCATGGGGTCAAGAAGAGCTGGACATGACTGAGTGACTGAACTGAACTGAATTGAAGAGGCTTTGAGATGTCAGCAGGGGTGGTTTCTCCTGAAGTCTGTCTCTTTTTCTTGTAAGTAGCCACCTTCTCTGTATACGCATCACTTCTGTCTTCTCCTCTTCTTTTAAGGACACCAGTCCTATTGGCTTGAGGCCCACTCATTCCTTGTTGCTCAGCTGTTATTCATGTCTGACTCTTCCTACCAAACATTGGCTGCAGCTTGCCAGGCTCCTCTGTCCTTCACTATCTCCTGGAGTTTGCTCCAAGAGGCCCACTCATATGCCCTGATTTAATTTTAATTATCTCTTTGAAGGCTCTATCTCTAAATATAGTCACATTGGCAGTTAGAGTCTCAACTTATGAACTTTGGGAACCCATTTCAATCCATGACGGTGAACACAGTTGGGCCTGATGTTTTCTACTTAGGGAGGTTACTAATTATTGATTCTGTTTATTTAATAGAGAGCGGCCTATTCAGACTGTCTATTCTTGTGTGAATCTGGAGAAAACACTTTTTAAGAAATTGGTCCATTTAATCTAGGTTATCAAATTTGTGGGCATAGAGTTGTTCACTGTATTCTTTCACTATCTTTTTTACATTCATAGGATCTAATGATGTCCTCTCTTTTGTTTCCAATATTAGTAATTTTTGAACTTCTTTTTCTCTTAGCCTGGCTAGAGATTTATCCAGAGAAGCAGCTTTGGGTTTCATCAATTTTCTTTTTTGAGATGCTTGTTTCCATTTTATTGATTCCTGCTCTAATGCTTATTATTTCTTTTCTTCTATTTTGATTTAATTTGCTTTTCTCTTCCTAGTTTCCTTAGGTGGAAACTTAGATGATTGATTTTAGAGATTTCTTCTTTTATATGCTTATAAATGTATGCATTTGATGCTATAAATTTTCTTCTAAGCACTACTTTTTTCTGTATACCACAAATTTTGATAAGTTGTTTTTCATTTTCATTTAGTTCAAAATATTTTAATTTTCCTCTCAAGATTTCTTCTTTAGCCCATATGTTACTTAGAAGCTTGCTCTTTAATCTTTACATGTTTTTGGATTTTTCATTTATCTGCCATTGATTGCTAGTTTAATTCCATTGTGATCCAGGAATAGACATTGTATTATTTCTTTTTTTTTTTTTTTGACTGTTCATTTTTTTTAATTTTTTTTTTTTTAGGTGATGCAGGAGAATTTAATTAAGGGACATTATTTTGAAAGGTGGACAATATTTTTAAAAGCCAATGACAAAAGATAGTACAGTGCGTGATGGCGGGGAGTCACTCTCTCCCATAGGCTGTAAAGCGAGAGTAGTTCTACGGGGAGGCTGTCTTGGAGAGACTTGGGCAGAGGGACACAGTCTACCAGGGCTCACCCAGCTAGGAGGTGGCCAGGTGTTTGGTTGTTTATTGCTCTGAAATGATAATCACATACTGTGCTCACAATTTTGTGGGTCACTAGCTCTGGCAGGGCACAGCAGGGATGGATTATTCTTGCTTCACAAAATCCTGGACCCTCGACATTGCATTATTTCTATTCCTTTAAATCTATTAGGGCTTCTCTGGTAGCTCAGACAGTAAAGAATCCGCCTGCAATGCAGGAGACCTGGGTTGACCTCTGGGTTGGGAAGATCCCCTGGAGGAGGGTTTGCAATCCACTCCATATTCTTGCCTGGAGAATTCCTATGGACAGAGGAGCCTGGCAGGCTACAGCGCTAATTTATTAAGTTGTTTTTTATGGCTGAGAATGTGGTCCATGTTATCTTGAAAGGAATTCTGCTATTGTTGGATAAAGGAGTCTATATATAGCAATTACATCCTTTTGGTTGATGGTGCTCTGAATTCAACTGTGTTCTTCCTGATTTTCTGCCCCCTGAATCTCTGCATTTCTGATGGAGGTGTGTTGACATCTCCAGCTATGATTGGTGAACTCATCCACTTCTCTTTGCAATTCTAATAGTTTTTGCCTCACATAGTTTGACAGTGGTGTTAGGTAAACACACATTAACAGTTGTTATGTCTTCTTGGAGAATTATCTTTTTGTGATTATATAATGCCCTTCTTTATCCTTGATAACTTTTCTTGCTTTGAATTGTGCTGGTGTGAAATTAATACAGCTATTCCTACTTTCTTTTGATGTGACTTTTCTTTTCCTTCTCTAGTGTCTTTCAAAGAGCAGGTTTTTAACTTTGATAAGGTCTAATTTTCCAGTTTGTTCTCTATGGATCATGTTTTTGGCGCTGTACAAAAGACTTTGCCTAACTCAAGGACATAGCGGTTTTCTCCTATGATTTCTTACAGAAAATTTTGCCTAACTCAGGGGCACAATGGATTTCTCCTATGGTTTCTTACTCGAAATTTATAGTTGTATGTTTAGGCCTACTCCCTTTTGAATAAATTTTTATGTGTTGTGCAAGGTATGAATTGAAGTGCACCTCTTACACCTAGATATCCAATTGTTCCAACAACACTGGTTGGAAGTAACTGTCCTTTTTCTGTTAATGTGACTTTGCACTTTTGCCAAAAATCAATTTTCCATATACGTGTGTGTATGTATTTATTTTCTGACTTTCTATTTTGTTCTGTTGATCTGTTTGTCTACTTGATGGTAATACTACACTGTATTGGTAGCTGTAGGTTTATAATGCTTTGAAATTATACAGTGCTAACTCTTCAACTTTGTTCTTCTTTTTCACTTATTTTGTTGTCCTAGGTTTTTTGAATTTTCATAAGGATTTTATAATCAGCTTGTCAATTTCCACAAAAATTCTGTTGGAATTTTGATTGAAATTTCAATGAATGTATTGACCACTTTGGGAAGAAGTGATAATAATGTTGCATCTTCTGATCCACAAACATGGTGTGAAAGTGAAAGTGTTAGTCAGTCCTGTGGGAGGACTCTCTTGCAGCCCCATGGACTGTATCCCCACCAGGATCCTCTGTTTATGGGATTTTCCAGGCAAGAATACTGGAGTGGGTTCCCATTTCCTACTCCAGGTAATCTTCCTGACCCAAGGATCCAACTGGAGTCTCTTGCATCTCCTGCACTGGCAGGCAGATTCTTTATAACTGCCACCTGGGAAGCCCCCTTAATACCTCCCACTCTTTAAAAAATGAATAACCTTTAGTGGAACTTTTAACAGTGCTGTAGGCTGGCAGGGACAGTAGTTGGGAACTGATAATATTTCCATCACAACATCCATTCTAACTTTGTATCAGTCAAGGCAATCAGGAGATGGATACCGCTTAGGAAATTGATTACAAATTTTAATGTAAGTTTGAGCTCAGTGGCTCAGACAGTGAAGAATCTGCCTGCAATGCAGGAGACCTGGGTTCAGTCCCTGGGTTGGGAAGATCCTGTGAATTCCACAGAGGATCGGAATAACAAGGGACTGGGCTAATAAGTGAAGAGAACTCTAAAGAATATAGTAATAGCAGTTAAAAGAAGCAGAGAGATACAGCACCCAAAGAAAAAGTGTGCTCCCTTTCCCTTTAGAAATTTTGGGTATTAAAAAAAAACAAGAAATGCTCTTCCAAGAAAATGCTAAGCTTTCAGAAAGCCTTTAGACTATGTCCGGCCTATGGAACACGATGTAAGAATATGCTACATTATCCCTTCGACTCATTAACTTTGTGAATGGTATTTGTCGTTCATTCGTTTATCGCTTCTAAAAATGGATGTCCGAGTTCCTACCTTGGGCCAGGCCGCGTTGCTGGCCTTGGGGGTAGGATGGTGAATGAACTAGGGTCCGTACTGACGAGGAGCCTACAAGTCAGGGAAAACAAGTAGCGGCGGATTGTGGTAGCAGCTTTGGGGAAAGCGGGGCCCCTGGGAAAGCAGGCGACAAAGGCTGACCTCGGGGAGAAGCTGGCCCCGGGAGGGAGGCAGGGGCACTTCGCCAAGGGCAGAGCTGTTCCAGCCTCGGTCTACACCGCGCGGGCGGAGCTAGGTCCGAGGCAGGAGGATGGGGCTGCAGTCCTTCACAGCCAGGACCCCGGGGAAGAAATGCAGATTCTTGTCGGCGTGCAATTGGAAGCCACTGAGGGGTTAATCACGCGAGATTTATCTGATCCGTTTTAAGTGAGATCTGGCGTGGTATGCATCTTTGCTGGTGGTGATCCGGACAGAAGGAGACATTCTCATACTCTTAATTATCATCCCACCGTGCGAATTTCCTCGCTTCCTATCTTCTAACGCATTTAGTGGGCACGTTCGGGACATTCGTCTAACCCCATAAACAAACAAGATATAAGGCGGCAGATACGGAAGCGGCCACCGAGAGGAAATGAAAGTGGACTGGGTCGGGTTGGGGGCAGAGTGGGGCGGCGGGCCAGGACCAGGGCGGGCTGGCAGACTCAGCGGAGAACTTACACTCTCTGATTTATTATTATTATTATTTATTGGAGCCGGTAGCTCGGGAAGACATCCAACAAGTCCTCTTTCCCCGCATTCTGAAGCTGCAGCCATCGAACTCCCGCTAGATGGCCCCGCCTCGGAACCTTGTTACACGGGAACTTTGTTTTACTGGAACCTTGTTTCAGCCGAATAGATGCCGAAGTTCCCGTTACTGCCGGACGCAAATGTAACGGGACGCTTCCGGTTAGGAATCATGGCCGCGGCCGTTAGCGACTCACGTGTGAGTGCGGGGAAAATGCTGAAAAATTCACTAAGGAGGAAGAAGAGGATGAAAATGGTAGTAGCATCGGAGCTGGGAGATAAGGACAAAGACGCTTCCGATAATGAAGGTAACGTACTTGGGCTGAGCTTTGGCTGCTCAGAGAAAAGGCCGGGCTGAGTTTGCGGGAAGCAGGGGGTGCGAGTGAATATCCCGCTGGCAGCCCGAATTTCTTCTCCACAGAACGGCGAAGGAGCGAGTTTGGCTCCGTGTGAGAAGGTTTGAGAAAGTGGTGTTCAGGGGAAGATCGCTGTCGCGTGTTAAAGCTTCCAAGTTCATTTATTAGATATTTTCATTGTCACTGTAATTAAGATGAATCTGTTGCTTTTTTAATAGCAGCAAAAAAGAAAAGAAAAAGGCTTATCGTAGCAAGGGGCGAAAGGAAGGGCGATATCTAAAATTACAAGAATGAGTTGGGTCTCCTAGGGAGCAAGGAGGGAAAGTCCGAGAGAGGCTCATAGGGAGCAAGGAGGGAAAGGCAGAGGAAGACGGCTGGTATACTTGAATTTTCTTGTGCAGTAGGTGCGTGCGTGTGTTGGGGAAGTAGGGATGCGATACTAGTGAGGGAACCGTAGGTGGTTAAAGTAGAGTAAATAAAAGCGGTTGATAAAGATGTCTTTCAGAGACGTTTATACTGAAAGGAAGGAAATGTATTTTGAGGCTTTCAACTATGGTGTGTCCCTGCTGCTACTCTTTACCATCGTTCTTGGCACTGCTTCTCAGGTTACAAGGGGTCGCAGACGACCCGTGACCTTATCCTGCTCAGAGATTGCTCCTTAATATATTGAGAGGTAGTTCTCATGATCCTGGTCCAGTTAACAGTAAGGATGGAGACAGAGAAACCCATATCTTGTAGAATCCAGTCGAGGCATTGCTTCCTTCTGTCTTATACATAAACCTCATACTGTAGGATTATTTTTCTTTTAACGTGTTTCTCTCCTTACGGATACAAGTTGTTCAAGTGCTGGAACATGTCTTTATTTTTATTCTCATGGGGACTCCCTTATACATTTTGGTACGAAGTAAGTTTTCTTGCTGAATAAATAAATAAGGAATCATTTCATCATATCCAATGGAGAATGGAATCATTTCATCATATCCAATGGATAATCCAAGGATATGGGCCTTAGTTTTCTAAGTCTGGGGTTGGAGAGCACAGTGTCCTCAGACATAGGGAAAGCACACACTGTGGCAGGTAGTCTCCTGAAACACACGGCTAGTTAGGTTGAAATGAATTGTTCGCTGTGGCCCTAGCTATTCAGAGGTGTTATTGAGACTGGGAACAGGATAAAGCCAGATTGTAAAGGATCCTGCGTGCCCTATGAAGAAGATTGGATTCTCTATCTGTAGGCAGTATGGAGCTCTTGAGACATTTTAAGCAAGAGAATGACACTTCGTTATAAAAATCACTTCTAACTGTATGGTGACCGCCGTAGAGTGCCAGAACAATTAGGCAAAGATGCAAAACTCTGCTAGGGTTTGCACTAGGAAAGTACAGTGAAGACAGGAGGTCCCCCTCCCCCTCCGAAATGTTTTTCAGAAGGAAAGCATTAAATTTTATAGACAACCAACTTCCAAATAAATTCGTAGCACCATAAATTTTGAGTATATTCCTGTTAGCAGAAGTAGGTAGTAATAATAATAGTTTAGGTACTGTATCACTTGAATTCTCATAACAATCCTGTAAGACAGGGTTATTGTTAATATTATCCTCATTTTACTTGTAAGAAACTGAGATGTAGAGAGTTTACATCTTGCTCCCACAGTGCATAAGCTGATAAGTTGATAGAAGACACCACTAGTATTGGAGCTTGCTCTGTAGTTTTTGCTCTGACCCCTAATTCCCTGATGCGGTTGAGGAACCAGGAGGACGGAAATGATCAAACAAAACAAAACTTTCTGGAAAGTAAAAGAGCAGGGCCACAGAATCTTAAGCAAGAAATGGATATGAGCAGACCACGGTTTTGAGACAGGTTTTTGTTCACTCTCTAAGGTTCTATCACTAAGGGGTGTTTTTGTGGTCAGATTTTATAGCACTCTTTCCACCGTTTATAACTGTAGTCTTCCTTCCTTCCTCTCTTCTCCCATCCTTTCCTTTCTTTTCTCCTAAAATCTGTGTATTATCTCCAGAAATAAATGATCACTCTTTTCTTAGTTGTTTAAGAGGCATCTGTGTTTGTGCTGCCTTTCAGAGGGACTTTGGGCTCCTTATGAGGGAACTTGCCTCAGTTCCCTCATCCATAAAATGAGTTTGATTGGTGATGGACAGGGAGGCCTGGCGTGCTGCGATTCATGGGGTCACAGAGAGTCGGACACGACTGAGCGACTGAACTGAACTGAACTGAATAGTGTCTCCTCAGGATTGTTGTGAAGATTCAGTGGGCTGATGTATGTGAAGCATTTAATTTAACGGTTGGTACATGGCAACCATAAAATAAATACTATACCCTTTCAGCTCAGTGGTAAAGAATCCGCCTGCCAGTGCAGGAGACGCAGGTTTGATCCCTGGGTTGGGAAGATCCCCTGGAGAAGAAGATGACAACCTACTCCAGTATCCTTGCTTGGGAAATCCCATGGACAGAGGAGCCTGGTGAGCTACAGTCCATAGGTTTGCAAAGAGCCAGGCACTATTTATCAACTAAACAACAACAGCCTACTCATAAATATTTGGAGTCATGATTGTGACATCTTTTCTGACCTAACAAAACTGCTAGTCCCATCTCTCGGCCACCCAATAAGCCTTCCAGCCTTTGATAACAGTGATGTTTATAAGCTGGTGCTTTCTCCAGAAAGAGGTTAGAATTTCCTCAGGTAACCCTACAAGGGAGCTGATGGCTTTTCAGTTTTCCAGATGAGGAGACAGAGGCTTGGAGATACTGTTTTCCATTATAGTAGAAAGCCTCTCAGTGGAAAACTTTTCAGTCCGTAGATGCCAGATGTTATCTCTTTATTCTGTCCTTCTTACTCTGTAATTAACCATTCAGTCATGTTTTCTTGGTAAAATTAGGTGTTAATAGTGGTTCTGTTTATTTTTCAGTGATAGTGATTTTCACAGTCATGGATTGTCTCTGCCTAGTTGTTCTATAGATAGCGTGCACTTAATATTTGCCAAGCTGAGTTCCTGATTTCATCTTCAAAACAGAATCCGGTGAATAAGGAGGATGGCCCATGTCACTGTGCACCGGTGATCTGCCTGTGACCTGACGGCTATTCACTCCTCCGGTCGCACGTCTTGTTGCCGCCTAGCTTGCTGGTGACGCAGTGTCGGAGCTCCTCACCTCTTGAGCATGTTTGCCCTCCTCCCTCCTCACCATGCCTGTGCTGGCCCACTAGCTACTCTTTTTTTCCCTTCACTTGGTCTTAACCAGCTTCTCTAGGTTTCTGTGTAGTTGTCTCCCTCTGCCTTTTCTTTCAGGATTTAGAACGTGTCTCTTCAATAAAGACAATAAAAGGCCTTTTATTTAATAAATTCGGTAATGTAGGCCCTTTGGATGGAGATGTTTTCCTTTGGTTTAACTCAGAATTTTCTATTTAATATAAGAAATGGATTTTTTTTTCCTCCTGTGAAATCAGATATTTCTGGGAAGGTGATGCATGAAAACAGCTTTTCTCTTTTTTAAAAAATTTATTTATTTATTTGGCTGCTTTGAGTATTAATTGCAGCAAGCAGGTTTAGCTGCCTCACAATATGCAGGATCTTAACTCCCTACTAGGGATTGAACCTGTGTCCCTTGCATTGGAAAGCAGATTCTTAACCACTGGACCACCAGGAAAGTCCCCGGAAATAGCTTTTCTAGTTCAGATATTTGTGTACATGTGGCCTTGGCAGAACTGTATTATCAAAAACTAACAGAGCTTGGGTTCTGAGAGACTATAAAGGCAGGCGATTGAAGCGGACTTCAGACACATGAGGAATCAACATGCACATTACAGGCTTGTTATTGAAGTGTACCAGCTCATTTTATCAGGAAATTGAGTCAGAGACTTATCTTTGAATTTTAATTGGTTCATAAAAATTGATAAGGACGTGCCGAATATCAACATTTGAAAGCAGCTTCCTTCAGCGAGATGCTACTTAAATTTCCTAGAAAAACACGAGTATAGCCCATGTGTTGTTTGCACTTTTATTTTTTATCTTCTGACTAATTTCTTTTGACATGTTGTTTAAGAAAGGTAGAAAGTTGTGCTTTCATGAGTGTAAAACTCTTGGATATTGTTTGTCAGACTTTGCAGAAGTTTCTTAGTTCTGTTACCTTAAAGCCTTGGTAAAAGCTGTGTTTCAGAACTTGGCATGAATCCTGATATGTGATGGAGTACTTGATATCCATTTATTATAAAAGTGGAAACTTCTCTTAATGTGATTTTTACACTCATTTCTCATGTACCAGATATCACTGAGGTTACAGATTAGCAGAAGTCATATGCGATATAAACTTGAATGATAGCAAAATGCTTCAGACTGTAAGTTTTGGTAAATTGTAATGCTTACTCTTCAGTAGGGTTTGAACTTTGGTCATAGTAAAATTGCGAATGATCCCAAATCAGAGATGTGTGTAAGGTAAGATGCTGTAGTCAGCATTTGAGTAATACATAAGTGGCAAGCATTATAAAGGAGAGGACGACACCCCTAAATGAGTTAACCTGGAACTACTCAGATTTTTTGAATTAATACCTTGGTGGTGGTTTAGATACCATGTGTGCTTGGCTCTTAGGTTTGTAGTCTAAATAAAAAACACAGCCTTTCCAGTCAGTAGATCAATTCAGGTGAAAAAAATGAAAACAGTGGTGGTGATATCAAGTATTATAAAGAGCATTCATGGCAACCCGTTGCGGTTTTCTTGCCTGGGAAATCCCATGGACATATGAGCCTTGTGGGCTACAGTTCACGAGCTTGCAAAATGTGACTTAGTGACTAAACAACAACGATAACCTCTACCTCTGAGCTACTGAATTACTCAGATCTACAGAATTTATGCACTGTTGGAGGTTTATATGCAGTGCCTACTTGCTTAAGATTGTAATATTTATTTAAAAAAAAAAAAAGCTCTGCAGTCAGTTAATCAACCCATG